CCAGTGGCGCCCTTACTTACACTTGCTTCTGTTTCTCATCAGTTTCGTCACCTTTCGTCAGTTTCGTCACCTTTCACTAGTTTCGTCACCTTTCGTCATTTGAGATTTTAATTGACGAAAGACGAAACTAGGTTTCGCATTTCGTCAGCGCGAAACCTCAAGGTTTCGTCTAACAACTATACCCGTGCCCAACAAAAGGCACAGGCATGAAGATTCAGGCAAAGGCACTAAGATTCAGGCATGAGCATGCTTTGTAAATAGATGTGACACTATGATCTTGTGATGATCAACGAAGAAATTTCTGAGATTCTAAATTGTCTATAACTTTATATTTTCGATCAGTTTTTTATATTTATTTGAAATTGGGCAAGATTCTTAAAATCTACGGAATCTACGACATTGTGATCTGCAGAGGTCACATCTTTTTACAAAGTGCAATAATATGCTTATGGCGATTTATAGGGTTTCAAGCTATAAAATTTAGTACATTTAATTTTTCATGCCATGATATCTTTAAGGAGAAAATAATAAAAATCTCCGTATAACGCGTTTTCTATGCAATTATATATATATATATATTAATTTTTGAATGCTGAATAATGCCGTAAACCTTTTGAAAATGTAAATCAGAAAAACTTTCCTATATTGAGTGTATACATTTAACTACAATATAAAAAAAATTGCAATTTAGATAAATTATAGTATATTTATTATATTTTAAAGGAGCTCATTAGCTTCATTAAAGAAAATAGTATCCATTCCATATTTGTAGAATCTTTAATAATATAAACTTTGATATCATTTTATTGCCTATGTTTCCAAGTTGCTTTATAGATTCCATTATTGATACAAATGATATTGGCAAGTTGTTCATATAGAATAATTCTAATTTGTAGACTAAATTTCGTTACCTTAATATTGTGTTCTTTTGATAAAGTCGTCGATTAATTTATTATCGCTTTGATTGTATTGATTTACATTCTTATCATGTGACTTTTAAATTCTTCTTTAACCAAAAGATTTTTGAGCTTGTATGTGTGTAAAATAGTGCTTTATATATAACTGTCGAAATAGAATTAAACGACCTACTGTAATAAAGCATACCCTATAAAAAAAGTTTGTACAGTTATTGTAGGTATTATCCAAAAAAAAGATCAATTTTCCGAACAGGGTTTATGTTTGTACTGTTTTCATAACGACGTTTTTACGAGATGTAAAAAATAGAAAATTTTTGATTAAATTATCGTATTCATCCAATAAGCATCCTTTAAATGGAACAAAAAATCGAATAATTTCGGAATTTCCAAGAGAATTTTTATAGGGATAGATATCGTTTGAAAATTTTGCTTCATCACGCTTACTGATAATTAATTGCGAAACATTTTGAAACGTTCATTTGTTCATTTATTCGTTCTACAATACAATCATTTCCCAATATAAAATCTATAGATATCGTAACTTAGTTACGACACTTTCGCTATCTCTTTGTGTTATTTCTTCAATATATCGTTTAAAAATATAAAACATAACTAACGATATAAAATATACCTGAATTTAGTGAAGTCATACGTATAATCAATCTGCTCGCATGTGCTGCGCTACGTAAATGTTTACATAAAATGTTAACGTGCATGTGCATCAATTAATAATTACCAAATTTTGAGGTCGGCTAAAGTGGAGTTAAGGTTAGGCCTATTAATACAATGTTGCCGGCATTATTCAACTGTGCAGATTAGGACACTGTGGATATAAATTTCCTTTTTTATAGTTTTAGAATTTTTATAGTTTAAACATTTTTATCGTTTAAGATTAGATATTAGAAATCTTGTAATCATCGAATTTTTATTTATATATTAAATATTCTTGCTAGCGAGACAAAAAAAAAAAAAAAATGTCTAATAGAACCATCTCAGGTAAAATATTCTACACTGCTCTGTTATTTTTTTTTATTACGTATTGGCCTTTTTGCCAACAAAACATAAATATAAAACCGAAATGTTTCTAAATTTAATCGATAATAAAAAATTAATTTTCCTCTAAAACTAAAGAACTTATCAATGAAAATATTGAAGATGTTACTTATAATTCTACTCCTAGTTTTGGTTTAACAATTTTAACTGCAGAGAGTTCTAATGAATCTTATTTTGGTAAATTTTAAACAAGTTTTCTGAAGAATATAAATTTTTTTTATAAAGATAATAAATTAATTTTTATCTCATTGATACTAGTTAACTTTGTTGGTAATGGCACTCCATCAAATTTATTTCCAGTTATTTATGATTATGTTCCTTCCATACCGTCTCAAATCGTAAACTATAATGATTCTGGATCAAGTAAATTATATTTATATACATGATATTTTTATCTTCGAACATCCCTTCATCAAATAATGTAAAATTAACCGGAAGCAACAATATAAATTAATTAATTTTATTCTTTTATTTCCAGTTGATTTTGATCTTATTCCTAATCTAATAAATTATAGTGATTTTAGATTCGGTAACATCACGCGATTTTTAACAAAAAAAAAAAAAGATACAACTAAAAGCAATGTAACAATTAATTTTTATTTCCTTAATATTAGATAGCGGTTCCACATTAAATTTTTTACTAAAACACAAATTTTATAATTTTTAATTTAGCAGAATAACATCATAATTTTTATTCATTGCGATTTGACTAAAAAGTACTTATTAAAGTAATAATTTAATTTTTGGTTTCTTAATACTAGAAAGCAGCTCTCTGGAAAATTCATTATCAGCCATAAATAGTTATATTCTTTGCCAACATACTTTAACTCCATTTTGAATGTAATTGCTTCAGGGAAAAAAAGGTATCAATGCGTCTTTTGCCCTCTTAAGTGCAGATCACCGAGCAAATTAAAAAGACACCAAGCCAAATTGCACGCTTTTGTTTGTTTTTAAACATTTGAAAATTATTTTTATGTTTATTATATTATATATTTATTAATTGTTTAGTTATAAAATGTTAAAATTAAGAATCATTGTATGAGCTCAGAATCTTTTTGAAAAGATAAATTTAGTTAAAGCATTTTCATATTACGTTAACATCGTGTGCTATTGAGCTCAATCTGCATTATATTCACCTGAAATCAAAAATTTTTTGATTTAATGGTAAGAAGACCTAATACATCAATAAACGCATATAATTAGCTAAATTTAACATTAATGCAGTAATTCGACTTAGCCTACTTTGGTTGCATTTACAAATAGGACCCCGAACAATACATAGAGGTTACATTGAAATTTTGGCTAAAAAGGTTACTTTTTTACAAAGATGTTATATTTGAAAGGTGGATATTGGCCAAAAGGTTACATTTTAAAAGTGGATAAAAGCTTTTAATGTTATATTATTAAAAGTGGATAAAATTAGTAAGTTTTAAATAGGTTACATTTAAAATTTAAATAACCAAATAAAAAAAAAGAAAATTTTTTATTGAAAAAAATTTTTTTTTAAGAATTTTTTTTAAGAAAATTTTTTTAAAAAATATTGTTATATTTAATAATTGGGATTATATATATGTACCCAAAGGTATATATACCCGTATCATGTGATCTATAGATTGCCACTAAAATTCAAGATTAGGTGTAACATTACACGATCAGAAAAATTCAAAACAAATATTCATTTTGACAAAAATCACTCATTTTACAAGAAATTGCATACTAAACCACCTTTTGTGTATTAATAAAAAGTTTTTCTTGAGCGATTTTACTATATAATAATCTAAACTCTAAACCTAATATAGTTATTACCCTAACCCTAACCTAAACAATATCAGTATTACTGTTTTTTTTATAATATTATATAATCAAAATAATGAGTACAAAAAAATTTAATGTACCCTATGGGTATAACAATATTAACTCTTTAATAATTGGCTAAAATTTATTAAATATTAAAGCTTATATATAAAATATGGTTAATTAGCTCTAATAAAAAGTAGATAAAAATTTTAAAAAGTTTATATTAAAGCTAATATAACCTCTATATATATTGTTCGGGGTCCTGCTACACTATTGTTTGTTCATATCTTGATTTCTTTCTCTTTAGATGTTACTAATAGTGCTATCAAGATTGCTGCTAACTTTACTCTAGTTGATAAAAACTACTTTTCAGTACTTTATGCTATTTGTCATATAATCTGTTCTTTATTTGAAATTTGCACTATACTATAACTTATCTCTATTTTTGTAGTACTCTTTGATGTTCCAGGTAAGCTATTTGTATAAAACACTAAACTATTTAGATTTTTATTTTGGATTAAAATCTCTGTCTATCTATTTCTAAGAGTTTTATTTTTGACTATTTTATCTATTAAATCTATTTTTCAACTTATATAACCTACAATTGGTTTTTTTTTTTCTAAAAGGCATGCTATTTATCATATGATATTTTTTACTTAGTAGCCACCTTTATCCATGTATAATGTAACAACTTTATCAAATTTTGATTAGTTAATATTATATATAGACATAATCACTACTTCTAATCATATATTCATAGTAAAAATCATGTAATAAATGTCACAGATCATAATGAAATCGGATTAAAATGAAACTGGAAATCTTCCTTGCTCACCTTTAAAGCTTATAAAACCTACTTATACTCTTTTATTAATAAAACTAACTTTAAACCCTAACCCTAATACTAACTCTAACCCTAAAAAATGTCACCAAAAAATTTTAAATTTTTCTAAAAAAATAGAAAAATTTCATTTTAATCTGATTTCATTTTAATTTGCTACAATAAATGGTATACCCCTAATCAGTGTTATATATAAGACAATTTTAGACAATTTTGAATATTTTTTCAAATTATTCAAAATTTTATTAAAATAATTTATTTTAATTTTTTATAAATGAATTTAGCACCTAAAAAAATATATAATTATATAATTTTTAAAATTACTTTATTGATTATTTAAACATGGAATATAGGCTTAGATGATTTTGAACAATTTTGGATATTAGATATTGGATATAGTATAGATATGTCCCATGTATAACACTGCCCCTAACTACCTATAATTCTTTTGCAATTACTATTGTTTTCTTTATACCTTTTCTTAAAGCTTTTTCTAAAAAATAGATACTAAAATCATTTGTGAGCTGCTTTTTGTTTTTTGTACTAGGTTTGATATATCTTTTAATTTTTTATATTTTACTAAATAAGTATTTAATTTTCATTATGTTTTAATACTTTCAAACCTGTTTCTAAATATGGCCTTTCTGTTTCTACATAATTTTCTATTTCAGCATACTTTTTTTTTTTTTTTTTTGATTCCACTAATTTTAATATATATATAATCTTATCCTTCTATAAAACCTATTCTTTAAACCTTCTATTTTTTTTAACTTTTTCTGTTTTTATTAAGTGTGTATTTAAATTTTCTGTTGCAAGTTTATATATTGGTTTGACTTCTCTTGTTATTAAATCTTTGATTATTTCTCTCTCTAGTATGTCAAACTATTTTGCTTTTTTCTTTTTTATATCATTATTATTTAGCAACTTTATTTTTTTATATATATATATATACATCAAATTCCCATCTGCTATTAAAAGTTACAATATTAAAGATATTTCTATTCTGCTTGCACTTGTTTCTTCATAAAAGAGCTAATCTTTTTCTAAAATTTTTGTGATTTCAAAATTGTTTGTTATTTGAAATAAATCTAGATTTCAGCTTTTTGTAAAGTCACTTTCTTCTATTATAAAATTTAGAGATTTTGCTTGTTGCAGAATTTGCACACCTAGATTTTTTACTTTAAACTTCCTTTTCTCTAGCTGTTCATGATTTGTTAAAATACATTTGGTTGAGCCTGCCTTACACTGTTTTTGTTTCAATCTTATAAAATAAGATTTTTAATTCAATAATTTAGATTTTGATTTTTTTAAAAAATTTTTTTCAATTAATAAATATTGTTATTTAATTCTAACAATTAATTTTATTTTTTTATTTTTTTAATACAATTATCAATTAAAAAATTTATTACATGATATTTTATTAACAAAGTTTTAAAACAAAATAATTTGTAGTAGTTTGCTTTTGTAAATCTTGATCTACACATTTAGCCTATTTAGCCAATTTAATATAGTAATTTGAAGTTTTGATACAAATACTGGCTATAACCTTTACAAATCTTTGCTACAAGATTTAAATCAAATTTATAACTATTAAAAAAACTTTGTTTAGTTTATACTTTAATAGGCAATTCTCTAGTCAACTGAACAAAAATTTTTTTTTTAATATATAAATTTTACTATAAGTGCGAATGCACCAAGCCTGTATCCAAACCTTTTTTATACTAAGTAAATTACTCTTCAGCTTCTAACAAAAGTTGTAGAGCTCATCAAAATATACTTAATACTAAAAGGATATTATAATTGGCCTAGTAGTTCTTGAGAAATCTTTAAAAAACTTCTTTTTTATATATAAAATTTCTTTAAAAAAAATTAATTTTTTTTAAAGAAATTTTATAAAGTAGATATGGGTATTATGACGCAGTTAAATATAGCAATAAAAAAACTTTTTCAAATTGCCTTAAACACTTATCAAATTTATTGAGATAAGTATATTTTAACTTGAAATAAGTTTTTTTTTTATATTTAAAGAAAATTTTAACTAAAAAAAAACTGTTTATATATATAAAATTTCTTCCGGAAATTAGGATCTTCAAGGTAGTAACCAAAAATAATACACACTAGATAATCAGATAGTACTACCTTTTTTTACTTTTTTTTTTTCTAGTTGCTTTTCTTCTCTAATACACTGTTGATCTAATTTAATATGCTCTCAATCTTCTTTTTTTTTGCTTGTAAATTTCTTGCTTATGCGCCTTCTCCATCTTTCGTGATATCTATTTTTGGACAGCCACTTCTTTTTTTTCTTTTTTTTCATTAGCAACTCTCTCTGTCTCTTATTCTGCTTCCCTCAACAAATGCAACAATTCTTTATTTATAAGAAGCTGGGAGAAAGGTATGGTCTTACATTTCTTCTTGGGTGGTTGAGTTTTGGGTTGCTCTTGATCTGCTTCTAGATCTTTGTTTTGTTTCGAATACTGGTGTAAGAGGTACTTAAGTACCAACTACAAAGAACTAGTACCTGGGTTTTTAAAAAGCTCCAGTTCTAATTCTAAATATTCAACCTTCTTATTAAGTGATTTTATTTCAGCCTACAATTCTTTATTTGTAGAGGTCTGGCTAAGATTACTTGGAGCAGATATATGTGAAAAGAAAGATATTAATGGGGAATGAGTTGTTCAAAATTTGATAGGTCAAATTTATGTATTGCTATTGAGAGCTCAAGATGACAAGGATCAATGGTATTGGGAT